TTGGAAGTCCCCTTTCCCTCCAGAATGGGTTTGCTATCCTTCCTTGGTGCTGTCACAGTACCCTTTCACAGTGACCCCAACTACCTGGAGTTGGGATGAACTTCACAGGGGAAGGGTATAATCCTCCACAAGACTGCCCTCACTTCAGACACCAGCCGCAAGCTCAGGGGTCCCCAAGCCGTCCTCACTTCTAGCCAGCTGGCTAGAAAGTCAGGGGTTCGATAATTCACTGGGACGACTCGGAGCTCAGGAGAGTGCTACACTTAATGATCAGAATTTTACTGTAACAAAAGGACACAAATCCAAGGCAGCCAAAGGAGGAGACACCTAAGGTGAGGTGTGGATGGGTCCCAAATGCGAAGCTTCCGTCGGCCTCTCCCTGTGAAGTCAGAGTGTCTCTCCCAGCACACTGATGTCTGCCAACGTGCGGAATAGCGCCGGCCAGGGAAGCCCAGCGGAGCCTCAGTGGCGAGTGTTTATCTGGGCTTCATTGTGTAGGCATAGTCGCTGGGTGGCACAAATGGTTTGCACTCAGCTGCTATCCTAAAGGTTGGCTGTTCTAACCCACCTAGTGGTACCACAGAAGAAAGGCCAGGCAATCTGCTTCTGTTAAGATTACAGCCAAGAAAACCCTATGGAGCAGTTCTACTCTGTAACACATGGGGTCACCATGGCTAGGAATCAACTTGATGGCAATGGGTTGGATTTGGTTTCATGTAGGCATGAGTGATTGAATCATTGGCCAGCTGATGGAAGTCAGTCTCCTGTCTCACTCCCCTCCCTGGAGGGTGGGCTGATAGCACCGGGCTCAAAGCTCCAACCCTCTAGTTCTGAGGTTGGTCCTTCTGGTCAGCCCCCACCCTAGTCATCTCAGTAGCATAAATATCAGTGGCCCACAAGGAGTCACCTTATTAACACGGGGCCCACCATGCGTAACGAAGACTCCTATCACTTGGGAAATTCCAAGGGTTTCGAGTCTACTTGCACACACCTTTGCATAGGTCAGTCACAGGATCAACCCCAGACTCTCCCTGTAGTATGATCCTGTTGAGGAACTGTCTGGATATTTGGGTCCTCAGCACCTAGCACCGGAGACAAACTTGGTGCTCCTTAAACGTTGGTTGAGGGAATGAATGAGTCAATGAATATTTGTAGGTGGATTTAGTTCAGCAAGTATAAAGTGATGCTTGTTGTACACAAGGCACCTTGCTACGGTCTAGAGATGTAGACCAGAAAGACATGTCCCTGCTCCCAGTCTAACCTTCTGTTTTAGCTGTTAGTTAGCTTATAAGGATTTTTGTTTGCTATAATTTTTTCAGTGGAAAACAGAAAACCTAAAGGATATAGACATCTTTTGGTGATCTGTGGGTATGCTAATGTAGAGATTTTTAAAGTGAACAGATAATAGGAATAATCTACATGGACATAACATTTGGATTTATCTTCTGTACTCTCGGGAATTCACTAGCCATAGAGAAGTGGATCTGGTATATTGGTACATATATGGTATATCCACGGACGGCCAGAAGAACGAAAAAATCTGTCTTGGAAGAAGTACAGCTAGATGCTCCTTAGAAACAATGATGGCGAGACTTTGTCTCATGTACTTTGGACATGGTATCAGGAGGGAGCAGTCCCTGGAGAAGGATGTCATGCTTAGTAAAGTAGAGGGTCAGTGAAAAAGAGGAAGACCCTCAAC